TTAATTGTANTCTGAAATTTAATTTTAATTGCAAATAAAAATCAAGAATATTTCAAGGATCCAATTGCAATTTTCGAAATTGTTATTAGAATAATCAACTTCCAAAAAATAATTTTGGGACCAATATGCACCATGCAATTTTTCAAATTGCATTTGGAATAATCAACATTCAAAAGTGTGGGGACCAACATGCAATTTTTGAAAAATTGAATTTGAAATCATTAACCTCCACGACAACAGTTCAGGTTTCTGCCATTTGTTTTATCGAGTTATTGTTCATCGTCAAAGAAAAATTGCAGTTTTTTTTTTCTTTTTTTCAGATTTTTGTCAAAATTTTTGAAGGCCATAACTTCTTCAATTCAAGGCCAAAAATTATGTTATTTATATCATTGGAAAAGTATCGAGAGGATCTATCAACCATACCAATTAGTTATCATGAAACAAAGTGTGGAAGAAGTTATCATGTGATTAAGTTTCGGGTTTTATCGATTTTAATGCAAAAAATCAGATTTTCATCCAAAACTTCGAATCCTCATCACTTCTTAATTTTATGTCCAAACTTTGAGTTCTTTATATGGCTGGAAAGCTTATGAGAATATCTTTCTAACGATACTAATCTTACTGCATGAAGACGAACGAGCAGATGGCAACAAATATTTAAAATTTCTGCAATTTTATCAAGGGTTTCTTTTTTCTCCAAATTTATAAAATCACAAATTTCCAAACTTTGCAGATATGATCTACATCATATAAGGAATATGCTACAAAAATATCGTGAATTTATGTTGCATATTTCATGACATGCCATTAACAATACTTCAAATTTCAACAAAAATAGCATATATGCATTTTTCAACATAATAATTCCATTTACATCAAGATAGTATGAAAGGGAAACAACTTTTACGGCTCTGATACCAATATAGGAATTCGCAGCATTCTTTAACATGAATTTCGGGTCAACAAACTTACTTGAAATGATGAATTCCAAGATCTTTTGATGGTTGACTCACCTTGCATTCTAAAACTCCAAAATATGCATTTCTTGTTCTCCAATGGTCCCAGTCCCGATCACAATAGAAGTAGATTATTATCCACAATTTAAGTGTCAATTTTTGTTATATTTCATGTCCAAAATATAGTTATAAGGACTTTCCAAGTTTGATATAAATTTATATACGAATTTTTCCTTTATTTTTCATGCTATATTTTTCCATCTTTTTCCAATACACAATCATTAAAGGTTGTATGGGAGCTAAGAGTCGCTATATATAGGGATGACGGGGCGGGGAGGGCCCCGCAACGAAATTCCTCGGCCCATTACTCGTTTAATGCAAGGCAAGGCAAGGCAAGGCGGGGCGGGGCGGGGCCGGGGTCCTTGTCCCGTTTACTACCCGTTTTTTATTTTTTTTAAGAGTTTTTGATAATTTATTTTTATTGATCATATTTATTAGATTTAGACAAATAATTTTAGTTTATATTTTCTATTAGAACTAATGAAATTTTTTGAAAATTTTCATTTAAAATATTGAATTCTAAAAAATAAAAAATTTAATGGTGTGGGGCGGGGCGCCCGTTACTCGTCCCTACCTTGGGGCAAAATTCCCCTCCCCGCCTCGAGACCCGATTAAGCGGGTAACGGGGCGGGGCCTAGTGGGTATCTAGTTTGTCGGATTTTTTTGTCATCCCTAATTATATGGAGTTGCATGTTTGAACTTCAAATTCAAACCACTCTCTCCAACCCTTTTAATAACTTGTGGGTTGAGTCAACCCATATGGGCGACCCACGACCCGTATTTTTCTAACAGTTCTGTATGCTATGTTTTGTACACACAGTACAACTCAATCTTATAATATATTTGATACAAATAATCAATTCAAGTAATGGAAAGGAAAAATGTATAACTAATATTCAATACTAATAATCAATCAAATAAACACAATTCGTTAAATATAAGTCAAATTGTATATAATGAGTTTAGACACATTCTATATACACAGTTTGATACAAGAAAATGCAAATTTAAGTTCTAATTACTTGAAAATTTGATTGGAAAGTGAAGATTTGTAATAAATGTGATAATTTGTAGAGAAATTATATACAAATATAAAAAATTAGAAATGTTAATATTTTGTTAAAAGACGAGAGGAAAAGAGTAAGAGAGAAAGAGAAAAGAGAAAAATTCAAATTTATTGTGATTTTGTCCCTATTGGTAGAGATTAAAATCAATTTTTTAGTAAATTTTAATAAAAGTTAAACAATTATGGAGTTTATGAAATATGTTATTAAAATTAATTTTTAACTTTGATTTAGATTAAAATTTAGATTTCAAACGATACCAAACATGACTTTATAATAATAATAATAAAAAAAAAAATATCAAAATTTGGGGGGGTCACGCGACCCCCACAGGACCTCCCCCGGGCCGCCCCTGCTATTAAGGGCTTGCTTGGAGTTTTTATTTAACTGGTTTTGACTGATTTTGTGCATTGATTTTAGATGGTTAAAAAACCACCCAAAAACGGTTTAATATTATTTTGACCGATTTTCTTAATACATTAAGGGGGATGTATTTAATTGAGACTTTTGAAAACTTTGATGAAGTTTTTTTACGTGATGATTTTTGTAGATTTCGTGGATTTTTTTAGAGATTTGTATGTAATTAGTGGAAATCTTTTGTAAATTTATAAAATTTTATTTTAAAATTTTTAGAGACTTTTGTAGTATATCAAGACTTTTGAAGACTTTCAGATAGAATTTATGTGGATCTAGTGTAATATTGTGAAGTTATCACATACGAGGTGACGGTTCTCACAATTCCCCCTCCATCCTTCCCCCCATATAATAATTTTTTTTAAAAAAAGAATAAAAATTGAAGTCCTTTATTAAATAAATAATAATTATTATTAATATAAAAAATAAATTTAATATTCAGTATTATTAATATAATATATCTTTAAAGAATAGACAAAAAAATATATATTTAAAGTTAATTATAAATTAGTCTATATAAAATTTTATAATTTAATTAAAAATAGATATTTTCAGAAAAAATAAATGAAAAAAAGAAAAAAAGTTATAAAAATACAATTTAATTTTTATCATAGAAAATAGAAATAAACAACAAGAGAGAAAAATAGAAACTAATACAATCAATAGAAAAAAAATAAATTTTACTTATAACTCTAATATTTGTAGAAGGGAAAAGAAAAAAGAAATATTAAAAAAAATGCATATTAATTTTTTTTTTTTTTTTTGTGAAAGTCTCCCAAAATCTTGTGATTAATGATAGACAATTTTTAAGATTTTATTTGAGTATTTTCTGTTTAAAAGTTAGTAACATGAAGACTTTTATAAAAGTCTCTAAAAGTCATAAAAATTTAAATATTCAAGACTTACAGAGACTTCTAAAAAGTTTTAATTAAATACACTGTGACTTTTAAAATCTACATTGAATATACCAATATTTTTAGAGAGTCTTCAAAAGTCTACATTGAATATATCTAAACTTTTTAAATCCCAAAGAGTCATTAAAAATCTTAATTGAATACCTCCCCTAAATTGACAAGTTTTTTGTCATTTCTCATATTCTCTTCTAATTTTATCCTTTATAAAATAATTATTTTTAACCAATATATTTTGTTTAAAGCTAATTTGTAAATAAAAATATATTAATTAAAAAATTATTTATAAGCAAAAAAATTACATCATATTGAAAAAATTATTTATAATTAAAATATTATCTATAAGACAAAAATTCATTTTTGCGTAATACTACTTAATAAGTCAAAAATTTACGTATAAAATATAAAAAATTACTAATAAGTAAAAAAATTCACTTATTTATTAAATTATTTAAAATCACAAAATTAAATTATATCTGCAAAGTTTACATATATGCAAAAAATACTAACTTAAAATTTTAAGTAAAAAAAACTTTCAAAATCAGTGATAGTAAATTCTCAAGTATGGTTGGACTGTTTTAAAAATCGCTATACTAAAGTCACTCGAAATTGGCCTACTCATAAACACTCAAAATCGGTATTTTAAAAAAGGAATTTTCTAGGGGTACATAAATTTTCACATAATGGTTCACATAAGTACACGTGGCACATATCTAATCTTTAATTCAAGTCTCACACTTTCACATCAACCACCGGATGGTTGTCACATCACATTATGTACCCCTCTATATACATAAATTATGTACAACAAGAATTATCCTTTAAAAAATGCTTATAACATGTACCCTAAAACTCCCAAATAGGCCATCACAAATATATACATACTCTGTATTTTAATATTTTCTTTTGTGTCCACTTTAATGAGGACAATATTAGTTGATATCAAATTTGATGTCAATATCAGACTGAAATTTCTCAAAATTTCAAAACATTATCATAAGCTAGCTTGATCAGTCGAGACTAACACGGGATGTTTCTCTATTTCATTCCTTCTAGTCATACAACTATTCTCTTAAAGTCATAAATTTCAAAACATTAAAATAATATAATTTGACCAGTCGAAACTAACGTTAATTGTTTCTGTAATTTGTTTCAAATTTGATTCATGTTTCCTTTAGCATTGATTCAACCCAAGCCCCGTTTTCAAAACTATCTAATCTTCCAACCAAACATACTAGATATATACCATCCTTCATTATTTAGGTCAACTCTACTTCAAGGTCAGTTCTAAAACTAAAAAAAAAATTAAAATTCATTTGCAAAAGTTCTGATCATTCACCAAAATAGGCACAATACAAAAAGTCAATGCTGATTCACAGCACAAAAATAAGTTATTGTATCTAATCATAACCAAGAAGTACATTTACCACTACAAAATTCTAGTTATTGGCTTACTTGAACAAACTCATTCAATCGAATCAACTGCTGAATATGTATGTATAATATTAAATGAAATTTCCGTGTTATTGGGATGATTGTGAAAAAGCCACATCTCTACCATACAATAGGAATAATCCTAAGCTGGCTCACCACCTTCAGATGCTAGTTTTATTTCGCTGGTGATGCTCTTGAACCTCGTAATCCACAATCTTCATGTATAGATTGGAATCTAGAACACAGTCCGGGCGTCCATATACCGCCGCTTGAACACTAGCCATGAGTTTTGCAATATCATGACCCGAAAACCCATCTGTTTTCCATGCAGCCTCTCGTAAGACATCATCTGGCAGATCTTCTATGGTTATTTTCTGCGGTTTCTTCTTAAACAAATGTCCACATTTGGACTTGCCGCCTTCTTCACCACAGAGGTATTTGTTCAAGTATAGGCTGTATAGCTTCAGCAGTTTGTAACGCTCAACTTCCCGTGGCAGTGGAAATTCAATAACTTCGTCAATGCAGTTGTTCATTGAAAATATGTTTCGAATAAAAACTGCCGTAAGCATACGGATCGTTCAAGTAATAAAATGGATTTTAGAGTCCAAGTATCGTTCCCACAGAGATTTACTAATTCGATTTTACTTATTCTGACCTTAACCGGAACGTGAAATATGGTTGAATTTTGTAACTAAATTGTAGCTAAATTAAATAAAAGTAATAGTGGATGAATTAGTTTGACTAAATGCAAATTATATGATTGAATGCAAATTGAAGCAACTCATAAAAAAGAAACGCACTAGATTCGCGAATCCCCTTGCAATGATCCATTTTAATTCTAGTTCTACAAATTTGACAACATGTTTGAATTGATGAAAAATCAATGTTTCTAACATATTCAATAATATCTCTCGAGTAGAATTGAACCTATCATCGCATACCATTAGACTATATTTATATGACAAATGCAATATACAAGAATGCATGATATTTTGTAAACACTTAGAGATTCACGTAGAGTATAGAGGTATATTTTTATCCCATATCGGACCCTACGATGATTTATACCCTGTCGAACTTATTTCTCTTCTTTCGAATGCATAAAATAAGCTACCGCACTCATACAACTATAGCACATATAATTGTAGAAAAAAATCAATGTATATAAATCATTCAATAACTCAAAACGCGTTATAATGTCAACAAAGAAAAACTAGGAATTAAAATATCACATCACAATGTTTATCGTTCACCTAACACATAAATCTAGCCTAACATGATAGAAAAAAAAGAAATCAGAAAATTTAATAAAGAATGACATCACCAATTTAGATTCTTAAATTGATTCTTTGCGTCGTGATGTTATTCTTCTTGTTTGTGCCTTGATTTCTCTCTCAAATGCTTCAAAAGTCTCCTCCCAGGTCTGCCTAGGGTTTGAGGACGGTTTCAGAGTTTATACAGTTGCCAAAAGATTGATTTCCATAAGAGTTGGAACAAAATAAGGAAACCAGAATTTTCGCGCCTTGATTGCACCAAGCGACTGCATGGTATAAACCCATGCGACAGCATGGTTATAAAAATTTGGCACTGTTCATCTCCGATTGGTACTTGAGCGACTGCATGAACTTTTTACAATGCGACTGCATGGTAGAAACTTTGGTCCCCAAATTTTATTTCATTTACCTTTTGGCCTTGCTTCATTCTCCTTCTTCTTCTTCTAATATTCCATGACATCACAATGTGTTACTTAACTCAATTCCATCTTGATTCGCCATTCGGGTCATTTTCTGAATAATTGCATTTTGGTCCTTGAAGTTCCATTTTCTTCCAATTTGGTCCTTTTTCGCTCACTTTTGCATATTTTTCATTCCATCCATCAATGTAATCCTACAAACACAAGTTATGTCGATTTAAGCCATATTTCAACATATACGTCGATAATTTTCCATATTTTGTGGTCTAAATAAGTGCACTTAAAATGCACTTATCAAATCTCCCAAACTTGAACTACTGTTTGTCTTCAAACAAGATGTGGCTTAATCTACACAAAACATAGCTTAACAATCTGCCGTGTCTCAGGATTGGAGCTTAGCAAGAGACCATATGAACAACTATAGTCGTGCAAAATCGCATCAATCTCCCATGTTATATGCAAAACCTGACGTGTGTCTGTGAAAACTCATACTAGCATATCAGGATAATGGTTGACTCATACCCAACCCAATGTAGTCGGATTTTTCGCTCTCATCGCTCGAAAGATACACATTCCCCCAAATTTATTCTTTTTACTCAATTATCTCGGGGTGTGTTCTAAGACTGAACGTATTTATATCTATTTCTTTCCATCTCTCAGTTAAGATGAATCATACTATCACAATAGAGATACCATTTTTTATTTCCTCAACCTTTGAGATTAAACTGAGCTAGTTACCTCGCAATAGAGATATAGTCTTATCAATCGAGTGTCTGAGGCTAATCAATGCATTTCATACACAAGAGTACGTATGTAATTCATCAATAGATAGATACCATTTTTTCTTTGTTATATAACATCTTTCCTTTACTTTCTATATAACCCCGTAGCAAGCTTTATGCTGATGACTCCCAGGTCAGATGACCATAGGACACCAGGTTTTAAACCCTTGTAGGCTTAATCACCCGGGTTAAACAGGCTCGAACATATGTCTTTTTTTATTCAATGATTTGTGCAATGTCCCGTTTTCTTTTAGACACTCAATTTCTAAAATTACACCCTAATTTGAAACTTTCACTTCGTTTTCATCTCATTGGTTTTAGACAATCCACACATAACATCATACACGGAACCCCTACTCATCTTAGTGTTCCCTTACAATAGTTCAATCACCTCCAAACTATTCTAAAAATTGGTCATCGTTTAGCACAAGAAAAGTTTTTCAGGATTTTCGAAGTTCACCTATTTTAAGTAATGAGTCAACTCATTAGCCCAATATACAAACATGAGTGTCCTGCGCAAAGTAAATCAAGTTTCACATAAATATGTTTTGATCAATTTAATGATGCACAATTTTCACCATTCATGGTCCACATATAGCCCAATAGAAATCATCATGGTTGGAGTATTGTCAAACCCACGCAAGCACACAAAATTCTAAACTACTACTAGAAATGCGTAAAACTAAGAAGAACCCGACAAAGAATGAAAACTAAAATTAATCACATAAAAACTGCAGTAACGTGATGAATGAAATATTTCCACCCCCAAACGTATACAGAGCATTTTCCTCAATGTTTAAAGAATAATAAAATGCAAACTTAACGGCGCATAAAGTTAAGGACAAATTCACAGAAGATAAAGAGTAAAGGGTGAGGAATACTCTCATGATCGATGGGGATGCGAAAGTGAAGATGGTGGAGAAAAAAGAAGAGTGGACAATGCATATGCTCTTTTGTTACCTGTAGAGACGATAAAAAAGTAATCTTATTAAAAATTATAAAAAACTTGAAGAAGAAATTCTCAATCGAATGCATAAGGCAAAATGAATAAAAGGGTAGAAACGATGGGTTGCCTCCCATCCAGCGTTAGTTTATAGTTTATAACTCAACTATACAGTGTTAGTCTGTTAAGGTACGTTAAATATAGCTTTGGAGGTCCTGATTAGCTTCTTCAATGACATTTTCTTTCTTACTGCAGCGTTCCTCCAAACTTTAGCATTATCTTTGTCCGCGTCATCTGCTTTTCCCTCATCAACTGCCTCGAACTCAACAATGTAGACTTCTTGCTTCTTATGATTTTGTTTGGGTTGAAAATGCACATTATGGTCATCAGCATTGTTTGAAAAGTCTTGAAACACAATTTTATCCTGCACCACCTCCTCTACCATATCAATTTGGTTTCAGCTATCTGACTCGACATGATAGTCCACAGCATTGAAAACGTTGAAAGTGATATGTTCCTCGCCAAATCTCAAATTTAATTGCCCTTTTTGAACATCTATTAGAGCTCTACTGACAGTTAGGAATGGTTTGCCCAAGATAAGTGAGATATTCTTGTCTTCCTCCATATCCAGAATGAGGAAATCGACTGGAAAAATGAATTTGTCCACCTTGATTAGCACATCTTCAATTATCCCCCTCAGATGTGCCAATGATCGATCAGCTAATTGCAGTGTCACTGTAGTTGCTTTAGCTTCGCCTAGTCCAAGTTTCCTAAAAATAGATAGAGACATTAGATTAATACTTGCACTAAGATCACAAAGATCTTTATCAAAGTAGCATTCACCAATAGTGTAAGGTATAGTAAAACTCTCTGGGTTTTTCAGTTTTGGTGGGAGCTTTTTCTAAATTATGGCACTGCACTCCTCTGTTAGCATTACTGTCTCATGGTCCTCTAGCTTTCGTTTCTTGGATATAATGTCTTTCAGGATTTTGGCATAGCCAGGCATTCTGAATAGTGCATCTGCAAATGAGATATTTATGTGGAGTTTCATGAAGATTTCAAGGAATTTCTCGTATTACTGCTCCATCTTGTGCTTCTTCAACCGTTATAGGAATGGAATGGGTGGCTCATAAGGGTTCACCGAGTTATCGGCACTTGTTTTAACATTGCCGGACTTTCTTTCATCGGTGTCTTCTGGTGTTGTCAATTCTCATTCTTTTTTTCAGAAGATTCCACTTGTTCTTTATTTTCACCTGGCCTTTTTACATGTATTTCAGGCAGTTGAACTCCACTTCTTGTAGTAATGGCTTGAAGATGCTCCCTAGGATTTATTTCTGTGTTACTTGGAAGTGCACTAGGTACTCTTCCTGTCATAGAAAGAGCTAACTGTCCCACTGGCGTCTCTAGGTTCCTAATAGCTGCACCCTGATTTTGGAGATTTGTTTCAGTCTTCCTCATAAATTGATTAGTGGTTTCTATGTATTTATAAGTTTTTTCCATGAATTTTGTAAACATGTCTTCTAACTGAAGTTTCTTCTCTTGCTGAAACTGCCCTTACGCCCGATTATGATTATGATTGTGATTCTGGTTTCCACCCCCAAGAGAAGTTTGGATAATTTCTCCATCCAGGATTGTATGTTTCAGAGTGAGGGTTGTTTTGCTGACGTTGACCGCATTGAGCAAAGTCCACATGTTCCGTCCTTTGTGTAAGGATAGGACATTCATCTGTACCATGTTCTGCTCCACAATCTTCACAATTTGGTTTCCTCACTTGTGCTAAATTCACAATCTGTGTTATGCCCTCTATCTTGTAAAATAAGGAGTCAATCTTTGCAGATAATGCTGAATAGGTATCCACCTCATACACTACAGCTGCTTTCTTTATACCCACTCTATCTGAAGACCATAGGCTGAAGTATTAGACATTCTCTCGAACAAGTCCCAAGCTCCCTTGATTGACCTAGTGGTTAGGGAGCCATTTGATGAAGAATCCACCATGCTTCTAAAAGTTGGAGTTAGTCCTACAAAGAAGAATCTGATTTGCGTTGTCTTGTCGAACCCATGTTGAGGACACTTCCTGAGCATGCTCTTGAACTTGTTCCACACTTCATCAAA